GAGGCGGGATCGTATCGGAGCCTTGCCGATGGTAAAATAACATATGATGACAGAGGTTTTTAATTCCTTCATTACGGAAACTTTTGTTGTTCTTGTGTACAGCTTTTTTATAACCAAAAATCAACAACAGAAAAATCACTGGGCCAGAACCAAAAAAAAAAAAAAGATACTGCTATCATTATCACCCCAAACATTTTAGAGTGAGAGTTTAAAGATCACAAATGAAATTAAATTTGAATTACAGATAACCAAAATCAGAAAAGTTATTTTCGTTACTTTAAATAAAATTTATGTCAACTGAAATTAAATCAAATATTTAAAAGATCAAAATTTCTCATTTTGATTTAGTTTAACTTGATGTACTAATATATAAATAAATAGCTTTAGGTGTCATTACCAAAACAGTCAATATTTGTGAATGTTAATTCAGAAATAAATAGATTTACATTGTCTAAAGAAATTTAATTGTTCAATAATTTTTTACTCATCATCATTTTTAACTTATGTTATTATGTTCCCTCTTTAGATCAGACTTCTCTACAACACATCCCTATTGAAGAGATCCATGATCATCAAGAAGCTCCAGCTTCTGAGGTTCTCCCCGCTCTAGAGAAACAGCTGGAGCAGGACGTCCCTCAACCTCAGGACGTCCACACTCCAGTTAGTTTGACTGAAGAGGACAAAGTGGAAGAGTTGGACAAGGGTAAATTTACTGCCATAATCCAATTCTCACTTTCCTAGTGGATTGTTAGGTGTCATTACCAAACCCATCAGTACACATTTTAATTCAGAAACAAATCGATTTAATCACTTTAATTTTTTCAAAAGTGCCCTTGAATAAAAAACTACTGTAATTTGAGTATGCAATATTTTATTCATATTATTGGTATTCCCCTCTTTAGATCAGCCATCTCTACAGCACATTGTAGAGATCTATGATCTTCATGAAGCTCCAGTCTCTGAAGTCCTCATCACTGCTGAGGAACAGCTGGAGCAGGACGTCCTCCAACCTCAGGACTTCGATGCTCCAGTAAGTTCCGCTGAAGATGACAAAACAGAAGAACTGGACAAGGGTAAGTTTACTGCCATAATCTAAAACATAATAGACACAGATTATCACATTCACAGTTTTTCAAAAGTGCCCATAAATGAAGAACCACTCTAATTTGAGTAAGCAATATTGTATTCATATTAGATTGTATTCATATTATTGGTATTCCCCTCTTTAGATCAGACTTCTCTACAGCAAATTGTAGAGATTCATGATCATGGAGAAGCTCCAGTCTCTGAAGTCCTCCCCGCTGCTGAGGAACAGCTGGAGCAGGACGTCCTGCAACCTCAGGACGTCCACACTCCAGTTAGCTCCACTGAAGATGAAGAAGCGGAGGAGCCGGACAACAGTAAGGATAATACATGTTTGTGAATTAGAAAATGTTATTATAAATTATAAAATGCATAAAAAAATTGATTTCATGCTAACTACATTTGTTTATCTTTTAATAGGCCACATCTTCTGGCAATATGAATTTGGCCCCAAGCTGGGTGAAGGAAGCTACGGCTATGTGCATGTAGGGACTCGCTGCAAGGATGGCCTTAAGGTTTCTTTTTTTTTTTTTTTACTTACAAAACTTTCCATACCTGTTCAGATTCATGAATGGAATGACCTCTCTAATTGTTAATTCTTTGCTTTGTTGATCAGGTGGCTGTGAAAATTGCCGAAAAGACTCCAGATATGCCATATATAAGAGTTGTGAGTAGCCTGCACTCTGTATATTATTGCTTCTCAGTAACTGTTTTCCATTTCTGACATCTTATATTCATGTTTATCTAATTCTTTCCTTTTAGCCTGGTCATCCCAAACGCCTCCCCATGGAGATCGGCCTGACACTCATGGCTAATAAGGGCTCCAGCGTTCCACAGATAATTAAGCTGCTGGACTGGCAGGATGACCCGGACCACTATGTCATGGTCTTGGAGCGGCCCATACCAAGCATGAGCATGTTTAGTTTCGTGAAGCTCCGACGAAGGCTCAATGAAGGGATGGCACGAAATTTTATGTGGCAGGTCATTCATGCTGCTAACATTTGCTGCAAACGTGGCGTCTTCCATCGAGATATAAAATTGGAGAACCTCCTAGTGAACCCTGACATGTTGGAGGTCAAGTTGATCAACTTTGGGTGCGGCACGCTCATGAAGGACTCTACCTACGTGGCCTTCAATGGTATGTTTGCTAGCAGGTCTTTAACTCACTGAAACACATCCTGCTGTATAAATGCATTAAATATAAAATCTCTTCCCTCTAGGTACAGAAATGTTCTGTCCACCAGAGTTTGATGTAGACGGCAGGTACCATGCAAAGCCGGCAACAGTTTGGTCATTAGGGATCCTGCTGTTTGTGATGGTGTGCGGGTATTTTCCAGATGACAAAGACCTGCACATGATCAGTAAGAATGACTGGTCTAACCCTGACCTGTCACAAGGTGAGATCTTCATCAGAGAACAAAGACTGACAATTTGAGCTCTAAATATAAAAGTATACAATTTGAAATCTAAATATAAAAAGGTGTAAAGTTAATAATCAGACATCTCTCTCATCTTTTTTAATAGAATGCTGCCAGATGATTTGCTCTTGTCTACATCCTGATCCACAGCGGAGACTTGTTCTGGAGGAGATGCAGCTCCATGACTGGTTTATGGTACTAAGATTAGAGTCTGATTTGCTAAATGTTTTTTTTTTTTTTCAAATAATCATCTTAAACATTTAAAAGTCAAGTTTGCTCTAAATGTAATGTATTTAGATAAATAACACTGATTTATGTTTTTGTTTCAGGTTGTGGAGTAAGATGGAGAACAACAAAAAACAGGCTGACATTAGTGGCCTTTCCATCCCTCCACCTTGCAGCAGCATTATTTATATTTATAATTTGTTTTAGGTATTAGGTATTAAGATATTTGTATTAATATATTTATAGGAATATGTGTAATTTTTGTAAGCATAATAGAATAGTATATGTATAATAATAGAATAATAAGAATGATTTTTATAAGAAAATTTATTAAGATATTAAGTATTAATAAGATATTTGTATCTGTATTAAGATATTTATGCACTGTTATATATGCTCTGTGTGTTATATTACCAGAGTGACTGTAAATTGGACATCTTTCTTTCTCCTGACAGCTGTAATCAATCTATGAATATTTTTTTCCTATTTTGGAAAGCTGTGGAAATAATAATAATAATTTTTTTAAAAAATCAAATAGTTGTCGTTTCCCATTCACCACTATACACTCATCCATGACACCAAAGTTTAGCGTAGAGTGTACACAAATATTAAGAAATGTCAAAATGACATAAAAAATTATGTTCACTTCACACAAAAATACGTCCCATGCTTGACAGATTTGTTTTTTTTTTTCAGTTAACTGTACTAAGTAGTCTACTATAGATTTATAAAGAACATTTAGTCTAATGTGAATATGTTCAGCAAGGCAACAAATAGCCTACATTGTGCACTTAGCATACATTTTATATAAAATGTATATCATTTTATATAAAGAAATAACAGTATGATGACCAGATCTGCAGTGTTTACCCACACTAGAAAGCGATACAATTGTTGAAAAGTCCCATAGACTGGTGAATTATGCCTCTCGTTCATTTAGATTCGCGTACCACAGGAACTGTTATGTAAAATAGTTTATTACACAGCTCACTGGAGTACTACATTCTTATTAGTCAATCTCAGCATCCAGCAGTCAAATATTTAGGAATAAATTGTATTTATGAATACATAAATGGAAATTGTCTTCTGCTAAAGCGTAGGCCTACAGCCTCTGTGGAAATAAGCAAGCTATATTTGACAGGAATATATAAAGAAGCAAAAATATTACATTAGTATGTAAATATAATTATATTAGAATGGAGACTAACACTTGTAAAAAAAAAAAAAACATTGTGACCGTAATTTCCAAACATTTGTGTCTCTAGCTGTTACAGCATGTTGCTTTTTAGCATTATATACATTCCTTTGACCAGCAGAGGGCTCTGGAGCGCTTCGAAACGAAGATGTATCCTCTTCAATGAGTACTGAATGCATCACTCTATAATAGTTCGAGTCAAAGGTAACTATTTTTGTGAAAAGGTGACACAATTGAGCGTAGTTGATCCCAAATCCTTTTCAGACTCGGTTTACTAGCGAAAAGTTGCTAGGAAATGAAATTTAACGGACTCGGATGGGAGACAGGTTGACAACATCAACTATGCTAGCGTTACAGAAGTAAACACGTAGCGACATATGAGTTTAAAACCAATCACAGGGAACCTAATTTAGCTATTTTGCCGTTGGTTAAGCCGGTGATCGTCACGGTTTGTCTTTTTTAGTGTTTGATGCATTGAAGTAACGTTAGTGTTGTTAGTGACTGTTTATCATTAGGACGCTTATTTCAATTAATTTCTTAACAAGTTATTGATACCTTAAATACTTAAAAGTAATCTAATATAACATCCTTAATTGCATAACTTAACCATAAGTCACAAACAACAATATTTTAACTCATAAAACGTTACTAAGAACGGCTAAACGTATGAAAACGTCATTATTAATATTTAACGTGATGACGTAATTACGTGTAATATGTCAGGATGGCCGAGCGGTCTAAGGCGCTGCGTTCAGGTCGCAGTCTCCTCTGGAGGCGTGGGTTCGAATCCCACTTCTGACAACAATGTTTTCGTTTTTTACCTTTCTTTTTCTTCGAAACGACGAGAACGTGTTGTTGTTGCAAGCGAATGTGATTCATCTATTTCATAAAAGAGGTGAACGGAAGTTTTTCATCTTGGGTGTTTGGGTACGGTGTGACACCATCTACAACTATGTTAACAAGTACTCGTTACTTTATTGTTATGCAAGCAGCTTATACTATTTTCACTTGTACAAATAATACATACGTTCATAAATGATACATAATAGAAAAGTCAGCTCACTCCTTTCAATCGCTAGATGGCAGCGTAATTCATCCCGACTGCTTTTCACATCAGTTTACCAGCGCGAAGTCACGAAGAAATGAAACATGGCGGACTCGGATGGGAGACAGGTTGACAGCATCAACCACTCTACAGGTAAAATATGCAGACTGAAACTTTTTAAACATGGGCTGTTACTGAATTAAACATGTACGTAAGCAGTCGTTTATAGTCGTTAACGGAGAGCTCGTGTTGCCGCTGCTTACGCCGCTGATCGTCACTCTGCCATGACACAGCTGACTTGACATATGCATAGTGGAAATTACATCATGCGGTTTTTGTCATTTTGAACACGTTGAAATCAGACTACATAGACACGGTTGCGATGTTCCCTATTGTTTGCATGTGTAACTGGATGTGTTTGCAAGACGAACTGAATCTCTGTGCAACATTCTGTAGTTTGGTAAAGATCGAATGAGCCAACATGATTAAATAACATTGCAAAGACAGTGTCGAGAATTTCTGTCATCAGAGACATTAATTCAAACTTATACGGACTTCTCAGTAAATTAGTATTTTCTACCACTAGTGTTTATGCAAATAAAGAGCAGTTTTAACTTTGGATACGTTTTAAATATATGTTTACGTGTGTCACAGAGGAAGATGTAAAGTTGCAAGAAGTTGTTCAAGCTAAGGTAGGTCAAGTCTTTATTTTATTTTTATATAATTTCACAATATCCATAGTTTAACTAATTGTATTTTAATGTATAAAAAATGTGTTTTTGTTGTTATTTACGAAATATCACCATCACAATGGCTGTGTCTCAAAACCTAGTGAGCTGTCTTACCTGGACAATATTTTGGGCATCATAGCCACATTCTCAGCAGACATGGACGGTGCCTAGTTGCCCAAAATGCAGACTAGGTTTTAAGAGACAGCCTGTTCATTTACATTGACACCGGCTTATTTAAAATCATGCAAACTGTAATTCCCCTCTTTTTATCTATAGTGTGAAGGTAAGGAATTGACCAAAGAAGAAAAGCAGCGTCTTAGGAAAGAGAAGAAGCAGCATAAAAAGAACAAAAAAGATGACAGGGGTCCTCCAGAGAAGGAGAAGGAGAAAGAGAAAGCATCTGTACTAGCTCCATCAAAACCTGCCACACAGAGCCCAGCACATAAAGGTACTGCTTCAAAATAAGTTTCCTGCATCTAAAGTTGATTAAAACAAATGTAATTTGGATTAAACTTTTAAATTGGGATAATTGGACAAAAAAAAAAAACATTTATTTGTTTATATTTTATATTATATTTCTTTCAGATCGAGACTGGATTAATATTAAGAGTTTCAGAGTTATCTATTCTTATTCTTAGTGTAGAAAGATGTTAACAACAACAAATAAATATACATGCATGTTTTTTTACTGTATGCTTTACTGCCATAATTTTTATTTCTCGGCTTCTGAGGGTAACTAGAGTCTTTTAATGTGTCTTTCAGTGGGTGTGTTTACACTTTGGTTCTCTTGGTTCTGTTGGTCCAGACCAAAAAAAAAAGTCATACATTTCATTCTGGTTTGCTTAGTGTTCACACTGTCATTTTTAACAACTAAACTAAAGATACAAAACAAAAGACATAAGGATACGGTGACAACCTGATTGGACAACTTTTAGGATGTATATTTGGAGAACTTATCGAACATCCAAATGATGTTTGCTGGGCTAAATGCTTGTATTGTATGTCTACATATGGTGGTATTTTTACCAGATAGCTCATGAAGAGCTTATGAAATGTGTAATTGGGTCAAAACAGCAGCTGGAATTCCTCCGTTGGACACACAAATGAAGCTCTGACCCCCTGACAGGAAGAACAAGGTATGCTTGAGCAAAAAATGGCTTCAGTTGAACCACACCAGAGTTTGTGTGGAAGTGGACAGTTTGCTTGTTTGGTGTGCACCAAGGTTCAGATGGCAGCGTTCACACTTACTCAAATGAACCACACTAACAGAGCGACCACACCAGAGTTCATTTTAATGGAACCAAACCTGCCGAGTAAACACAACTGTAAGTTTAAAGTCTGTTATTTGGGTGCATTTTAATTGTTGGACTCTTTGATCTCATTAGCAGCTCCTGTGCCTGTAAATGCATCTGCATCTGAATCTCCTGTGGCTGCAGAGAAGCCTGCAAAGAGCAAAGCAGAGCAGCGAGCAGAGCGTCGGGCAAGGCAAGACACAGAACGGGCATCAAAACAGGGCAAGAAAGAAGGGGGGCAGCAGTCTGCCTCCAGCAAGCCTAAAGCTACCCCCAATGAGCTTCAGCCAGGTAATTCACTGCTTCATAAAAGGTTATTCCAGTTTGGGATATTCACACACTGGCCCAATTTTGTCAGCCATTCCTATGCTTTTAAATATTTTTTTCCCCTAATTCAAATATATAAAAAAATCAATCTAAAGTGCCTGCATTTAGGGAGAGACGGTGACTGAGCAGTTTTGCCATTTTGCACAGCCTTGTTTTTGTTTCGTTTCTCTATTTCCTGTTAGTAGTGAAAAGGTTACCAGAGCACATTCAGGTGGACGACCCTGCTGCATTGAAGAAGTTGGCCAAAAAACTTGAGAGACAGCAGGTGAGACAAATCAATATTGTCATGCTTTGCCTCTTGTCTGATTGTTGCCCATTGACAGATGATGGATTCATCCAGGTGTTTTCTGAGATCCATTTTGCAGCATTTTTAACCCAGGTCCTTCCAATGTCTTACAGAAGTCAGGGCAGGGATGCAGTTTAAATAGAACTGGAGTCAAGGTCTGGCTCCACACTTTTGTGTGCAGTGTATTGTTGAATATTTTCTATTTGTGATGTGTTTTTTTTTATTCTTGGTGAAAGTTATTGACTCTTCTTGGCTTTAATGTCTGCTGGAGGTGATTTCATTGTGATTATTATCATTTCATTGTGTACATGTGATGAGCTAGATGTCCTTTCTGGGTGAATTTTGAGTTTTTCTTTATTTTTTTATGTTATTAGGTGTAGATCTATAACACTAGAATAAAGCTTTTAAAGTCTACTGTGGAGCCCTTCTTCATTTGTGCACATTTGTGTCATGTATGTCTTCATGCACAGTGTTCTGTTGCAGCCTCAGCTCTTGACCTGAGGAGGGAGGTCCTGCAGAGTTTAGCTCCAGCTTGCCTCAACACACCTGCCTGGAAGTTTCTAGTATGTCTAGTAAGACCTTGATTAGCTGCTTCAGGTGTGTTTGATTAGGGTTGGAGCTAAACTCTGCAGGACACCGGCCCTCCAGGACCGAGTTTGGGCACCCCTGGTTTAATGCATCCTTGCTAAATAAAAAGGTTTCTTTAAAAAAATCTTACTGTCCCCACACTTTTGAACAGTAGTGTAACTTGAAACATAGTAGTGTAACTTGTACTCAAACTTCCTCCTCAGCCCCCAAAAGCCTTTTATTTTTAAATTGATCGAAACTAAGATAATCGAACTTTGGGCCGTGTAATTCCAGGTCTCAGTTAGGGCTGCACGATTATGACAAAAATCATAATTATTCCCTTGAAATTGTAATTGCCATGTCTTCATGCACAGTGTTCTGTTGCAGCCTCAGCTCTTGACCTGAGGAGGGAGGATGTGACCTCTAGAGCGTTTGTCCTTGAGGGAACAAAATATTCACATCGAATGCTGTTGTTTACTCTGTTCTCTCAGGTTCCTTTGAGGTCCGATTATGGTTACAAGGTCAGCCTGTTCTCACATCTACACCAGTACAGCCGAAAAAACCCTCCCACCCAGCAAATCAGGTACTATAAACAATGTATCTTCTACATTAGTTATAATTTTGTCTTAAAGGGGTTATATAAGTTATACAAATATCTTTTTTTCTCTTAATCTTTTGACAAACGTCTCTTATGTCCCTTATTCTACTCCGGGCTGCATATATTTGATCATAAATACAGTAAAAATGGTAATATTGTGAAATATAATGACAATTTAAAATAACTGATTTTGAATATATTTTAAAAATGTAATTTCTGTAATATCAAAGCTGAATTTCAGCAGTCATTACTCCAGTGTTCAGTGTCACATGATCCTTCAGAAATCATTCTAATATGTTGTTTTAGTGCTCAACAAACGCTTCTTACTATTATCATCAATATTGAAAACAGTTGTGCTGATTTTTATGGAAATCATGACACATTTTTTAAGGATTTTTGATAAAGAGAAGATTCAACAGAATAGCATTTAGTTGAAATAAATCTTTTTTAACATTATAAAAGTTTTTATGGTGACTTTTGATCAGTTTAATGCAGGGGTGCCCAAACTCGGTCCTGGAGGGCCGGTGTCCTGCAGAGTTTAGCTCCAGCTTGCCTCAACACACCTGCCTGGAAGTTTCTAGTATGTCTAGTAAGACCTTGATTAGCTGCTTCAGGTGTGTTTGATTAGGGTTGGAGCTAAACTCTGCAGGACACCGGCCCTCCAGGACCGAGTTTGGGCACCCCTGGTTTAATGCATCCTTGCTAAATAAAAAGGTTTCTTTAAAAAAATCTTACTGTCCCCACACTTTTGAACAGTAGTGTAACTTGAAACATAGTAGTGTAACTTGTACTCAAACTTCCTCCTCAGCCCCCAAAAGCCTTTTATTTTTAAATTGATCGAAACTAAGATAATCGAACTTTGGGCCGTGTAATTCCAGGTCTCAGTTAGGGCTGCACGATTATGACAAAAATCATAATTATTCCCTTGAAATTGTAATTGCCATTATTAATTATGATTATCACAATTTACACTGAATGATGTTTATACGATTGTTTGAAGCAACTGCATGCCATATTTTTATATGAAAATAAACTGAGCTGAAAGCTGAAAACACTGTAACTGAAAAACTTTTATTGCTTTTCTATAGTATTAAGCCTCAAATGTCAACTATACACTGGATTGGTTTATTTAAATAATAATAATAAAAAAAAAAAAAGTAAAAATATGTATGGTATTATAATGTTATACTAAAATTAAAACAATGGAAAAACCCTTAAGATAACCTGTAGATAAACACATCTTAAGCATGCAGAATAACATAAGTGAACATAAGTGCCGCTTTGAACGATTACGTAATTGTTGCATCCGTACTTGAAATCGCGATTAGAAATTTGATTAATTTTGCAGCCCTAGTCTCAGTAGAGAGGTTAGAAAATGTGCTTGAAAAATTTAAATAAGGCATAAAAAAACTTAACTAACATTATAAGTAGACCTCAGTGGAAAAAATACATTTACATTTTTACAATTAAATGTATTTATTTTTCAGGAGTGACATTAGAAATTAAGCGTGTATAACCTGAATGATTTAGTTGGTTGATTTATTATTTGATATGGTTTATTTTGTAGCATCCCTGCCACAGTTATTCACCCATCCATTGTTCGGTTGGGCCTGCAGTACTCTCAGGGCATTATAGCAGGATCCAATGCTCGATCTGTGGCCCTACTACATGCCTTTAAACAGGTAATATAATAATAATAATAAATAATAAAACATAACCTATGGAATGTTCTTAATTTTTGGATTTAATTAACATTTAAATCATTTTTTAGGTTATTCAAGACTATAGCACACCTCCAAATGAGGAGTTGTCGAGGGACCTTGTGAACAAGCTGTCGCCCTATATCAGGTTCACCTTCTTCCTTGTGAAAATTGATATGGACATATTTTATTTGAACTCTGATCTTACATGGAAACAGATGTTTAACAAACACTGCAAATGCTCTTCACACCTGCAGTTTTCTCAGCCAGTGTCGGCCCCTTTCAGCCAGCATGGGCAATGCCATCAAGCACATCAAGAAGGAAATTTCAAATATACCCAGTCAGTGCAAAGAAGAAGAGGTAAGAGTATTCATAGTTACTTTAGACTTCAGAATCATTAGTTTAGAGACGTTTATATACAATAGTATTCCTTTGAATTTCTAAAAGAAATGTTTTCTCAACAGGCGAAAAGGAGACTGCAGGAATGCATTGACAGTTACATAAACGAGAAGATCATTTTGGCTTCTGAAGCCATTTCTAAGTACGCTATTGAGAAGATAAGTGATGGAGATGTTATTCTTGTTTATGGCTGGTAAGAGTTTTCAGTGAATTGACGTAATCCTGTAATAGTCTGGATTAACACATTCAGAAAGTGTTTCAGAAATGCCTTTCTTGTCTTTTTCCAGCTCTTCACTTGTCAACCACATTCTGTGCGAAGCTTTTGAAAAGCAGAGGAAGTTCAGAGTCATAGTTGTGGACAGTCGGCCCAGGCTGGAGGGCAGAGAGGCGCTGAGGCGTCTGGTGAAGAAAGGCATCCGATGTACTTACGTGCTTATATCTGCCTTGTCCTACATTCTGCCTGAAGTGAGTCATTCTTTTCAGTAAAGCTTTTTGCAAGCATAATTTATTTTTAGCTCATTGCGAGGCAAGGGGATTTCTTACAAAAGTGCATGTACCTTCAAAGGATTGATTATGTGTATGACATCAGCAGTAGCTAAAAATACAGCTTAATTATGGTTTGGTACTTTCGTTCTTAACAATACACAGTAGCAACTGAAGTTGTGCTAATAGAAGAGTTGCTCGGCTTTATCAGTCTCTACCAAATTTAACCACTTTCATTAAGAACAATCTAGAGTTTAGAACAGCATGTGCACTTTATTTTTACTAGTATACTTTTATTAAAGCTGCAGTCCGTAACTTTTTTTGGTTAAAAATGATCCGAAATCAATATTTGAGCAAGTACAGTGGGGAAAATAATTATTTGATCCCCTACTGATTTTGTAAGTTTGCCCACTTACAAAGAAATGAAGGGTCTATAATTTTTATGGTAGGTTTATT